GGTGTCGCGGGCGTGCGCGATGCTGTAGCGCACCTCCCCGTTGGGACCCTGGTCCTTGTCACGCGCCGTCACCTGCAGGACGAAGCTGCCTGGGTACACCACCTCGGGGATGCTCTGCTTGTACTCCTGCTGGTCGAAGAGCGGGGGGTTGTCATTGACGTCCACCACCTGCAGCACGAAGGCTGACTCCGCCCGCAGCGGCGGCGTTCCCGAGTCAGTAGCTGTCACCCGCAAATCATAGGAGTCTCTTTCTTCCCGGTCCAGAAGCTGGTCCACGCAGATGAGGTAGATGATGTTGTCCTTGGTAGTGAGGGCGAACTTGCCGTCGCCTCCCTCCAGCGTGACGTTGACATTGGAGTACTCGCCGTAGTCCGGGTCGGAAACAGAGATGCGAGCCACGTACTGGCCGGGCTGGGCTCCCTCGGAGATCTGAGGGGAGCCGTCTTCACTCAGGAAGATGATGGTCATGGTGGGCTGGTTGTCATTGTAGTCGCGCACGTGAATGGTGACGAAGGCTGTGGTGACCTCCGGGTGGACAGCCTTATCTCTCGCCTGCACCACCAGCTCGTGCACCTTCCTCACCTCATAGTCCAGGCCCTTGTTGAGCTTGATGACTCCAGTCCGGGCATCGATGGTGAAGTACTGGTCCGGATCGCTCTGCCGCCTGTTGATCTCGTAGATCACATCCCCGTTGTCACCCTCGTCCGCGTCAGAGGCAAAGACCTGCAGGATGCTGCTGCCAGGTTTCAGGTTCTCCGAGATGAGAGTGTGATAGCGGCTCTGGTTGAAGCTCGGAGCGTTGTCGTTGATGTCCTGGATGGACACATCCAGCGTCATCTGGGTGCTCCGGGGAGGAGAGCCCCCATCATAGGCTTCCAGCAGCAGGGAGTACGATGAACGGTTCTCCCGATCCAAGACGTTGCTGACCACCAGGTCCAAATACAGGACCCCATTGGGTCCTCGGCGTGTTTCCAGGCGGAAGGCCTGCCCTGCGTTCTCTCCCTTAATGGCATAGCCTTGTGTGTTGAGTAGGCCACTGTCAGCATCAAAGGCCGGGTCCAGGGGAAACCTGGTGCCAATGGGGGTGTGCTCCGGGATCTGGAAGGTGCTGTGCTGCTTGGGAAAGGCCGGAGCATGGTCGTTGATGTCATTCACTTGGATGTTCACCTCCACCGTGATGCCCTCCGGCGTAACAGCAATGAAGCTGTAGCGGTCCCGAGTCTCGCGGTCCAGGACACGCGCGGTTTTGATGATGCCGGTGTTCTCATCTATGCCCAGGTCGGTGGTAACGCCGCTGCCCTCCTGCGCCGAGATGAAATACATGTAGGCAGCAGTCCCAGGGGGCAGCCCCGCACTGATGTCCCCGATGATGGTGCCGGCTGGCTGCTCCTCGTCGATTTGCAGATCCAGGGTGCCCAGGACAGCAGAGCCCTCCCCCGCTCTCAGCCCCCCCAGAATCAGCAGCTCCAGCAGAAGCATGGCCGAGCCCTTCAGCTGCTCCATGGCGGAGGACAGAGCGGAGGGCACCCGGTCTCCTCCGTGCGCTTTAATCCTGCGTGGAATGCAGACCAGAGGACGCTGGTTAGGAGGGAGCAGCGAAGGCAGGGCAGAAGAAAGCTCCCGGAGAGGGAAGCTGCCCCACACCTGCCGCCCAAGCGACCCCTCCCCGGGAGCGGAGGTCAGGGCAGAGGGTGCCCAGGGTCCCATCCCGGG